CTTATTCTTTGACATATGAGTAAAGTTGAGCTGCCAATCTTCTCCAGGGTATTTACCATGTCTCTCTTCCTGGAGGGACTAGGGTCCAATTAAGAGGATTGTTCTTTTGGCAGAACTCATATGTTTAAACTATCTCTTATATTGTCTGAGAAAGTCCTTTTCCTATGATAACTTTGAGGCCATTTGGTAGGTCTTGTCTCTTCCCAAGTAAAAGATTTGGTGTAAAGTAATTTTTCATTGACTGCACCAGGAAGGGACAATTTACCACCTTCTGATTGTAACAATCCGTATGGGAGAGAGCCCATTTGATTTCTACCTGAGAATACTTGGGTCAGGTATGATCAAGGGATCCTTCCCAGATCAGGTGGGCCTGAAAGCGGTGTCCTCAAGCAGCTTTTTTTGCAGCTGTGTCAGCCAATTGATTACCTTGAGATATGTATTCAGCTCCTTTTTGGTGTCCTCCACAGTGAATAACCCTCACTTTGGAGGGTATATAAACAAATGATACTTTATGGGAGATCCATTAGCTGTCAGATGATTTCTTTTTTTCCATATGGCTGTGTGGGCATGCAATACTAGTAAAGCATACTTTGAATCAGTATAAGTACTGACTTTTTGTCCTTCACTGAATTGTAAAGCCCTAGTCAGAGCTATGAGTTCTGCTAGCTGGACACTAGTTCCAGGGGCAAGTGAGGAACTTTTAAGTGTGTAATGTAGAGTCACTACTACATACCCTGCCTTTCTTGTACCATTTTCCATGAAGGAACTGCTGTCACTGAAGAGGGTCAAATCAGGGTCAGTAAAAGGTGTATCTAACAAGTCTTCCCTGGCTGCGTATGTAGGGAGAATTACTTGCTCACAGTCATGTCTTTTAACCTCAATTTCTTCTTGCCTCTCTGGTGGAAAGGTGGCGAAGTTTAAAGAGAAACATGTCTTTACTTGAATGGCTGGTCCTTCTAGAAGTAGAGCCTGGTACTTAAGAAGTTGATTGTCTGATAGCCAGAGGCTCCTTTTGGAAGAAAAAAGTCCCACTACAGTGTGAGGTGTATATAGGGTGAGATCTTTGCCTAAAGTCAGCTTGGATACCTCTGGTAACAGAAGAGCTATGACAGCCACAGTTCTAAGGTGTGCAGGCTATCCCTTTGCTGTAATGTCTAATTCATGACTCAGGCTGTTGAGCAGGTCCTTGATCCTGCATAAGCACTCCCAAAATCATGCCTTGCCTTTCACCAACGTACAGATGGAAATGATGTCCTGTTGGTAGGCTCAGTGCTGGGGCATTTAGAAGCACTTGTTTAAGCTTCTGGAATGCGGTGTGGAAATCAGGTTTCCAGGTTAAAATATAGGTATCTTCCTTTTGGGTTTCCTTTATAAGCTGATAGAGGAGGGTGTCATGTGATCTCACCCCACCCTGCTACCCAAAAGTGACAAAATCCTGGAATTCCTAGGAATCCCCTTAGCTGTTTTAGGGTCTTGCATTGCAGTAAGGAAAGTATTGGTTTAATTTTCTCTTCCCAGCCTTTCGGTTCCCTCAGATATGATAAGGCCCAAGTATTTTACCTCAAGGTTGCAAAGTTGTGCCTTAAACCTAGAGACTGTATAACCTCTGTCTGCTAGAAAATTCAGCAGAGCACAGGTGCCTTGTCTAGAGAGCTCTTCTCATGGGCACATAATAGTATGCCCCTCAAAAGAAGCATCTATATATTACAAGATTGTGACTTGGGAAAATTCAAAACACACAAAGTTTTGGGAAACACTTGTCCAAAAAAGATGAGGACTGTCTCTGAACCCTTGAGGAAGCACAATCCAAGTCAGTTGAGAGGCCTGGTTGTGACGGTTTTCAGATGCAAAATGAAACTGGGAAACTGTCATGGGGCAGGCTTCTAGAGTTTATGATTGATTTATGGTCCAGTGCTGGGATTATGTGTCTGAGTGCTACGCTTGCCCTGGGGTGGATAGTTTGCATACAATGTAAGGGAGGGAAAGAGGCTCCTTGCTGCCACGCCTTCCTTTTTGCTCTTGTTGCTTTTGCCGTGTTTTGCTGCCATGAACTGTTGCTGTCTGCCATATACTACTCTGCCTTGGAGCAGCTGAGTATGGACTGAAACCTCCATAAACAGTGAGCAAAATAAACCTTTCCTTCCTTAATTTTGGGCTTTGGGTATTTTGTCCCAGCAATGAGAGAAAAGTAACCAAGACATGTATATAAAGGAATACAAAAGAAGGCATTTTAAAATCTAAAACTGAAAACCAATCAACATTTTCCAGGATCTGAGAAAGGAGCGTATATAGGTTAGGTACCACCAGTGGATCAGCACTACTGCTTCATTTACTAATCTAAGGTCCTGTACTAACCTCCATTCCCCACTGGGTTTTGGAACTCCCAAGAATGGAGTGTTACAAGGGCTATTACAATGTTTGAGTAGACCTTGTACCCTTAAATTATGATTATAGGTAATAATCCTCTTTTAATTTTAGGACTTAGAGGGTATTATCTCTGGTGAGGAAAAACAGGAGGATCTTTGAGATGTATTTCCACCAGAGAAGCTATTATTACTCTTCCTATTTTACCTTTATTGCCCAAACTTCAGGATTTATTTCTGTCTCCATGAGAAGGAGGCAGTGTACCTGACCTGGGTGCATGTATATTATAGTACTCAAGCAAGGTAAAATATTCTTCCCCAGGAGAGGAACTGGACTTAAGGCATAATTAAAAATGAATGAGTGAAGGGAAAACCATCCTAGTTACAGCCTAAGGGTTGTAAGAAATAGCAAGTTACCTCCTCTCCAGTGACTCCTTTTACTGAAGTATGACAGTGGGAAAGAAGCTCAGGTTTGAAAAGAAGGACGGAGAGACACATGCCAGTGTCCAGGGATAGGCTGATTTCTTTTTCCTCTGTAGTCATGAGTACCTGGGGCTTCTCTGTGGAGATGACAGTCTGGCTAGAGGGAGAACACAGAGTGCGTTAGGGCCCTTTAGTCTTGCTGGGCTAGCTGGTAAGATGGGTCTGATCCCTCAGGCTTCCACCTCAGAGGGCAGTCTGACTTCCAGTGGTCACCTTTGGGCATGGCTCAGGGGGCCTCTTCCCATGACAGTTTTTATCAGAGTCCCTCCTAAGGTGGCCTGGCTTTCCCCAATGGTAGCAAGAGAATTTAGTCATGAACTCTTCTTAGAGCCCGAGAATCAGTCTTAGGGTCTTTAAAGGCCACAACCAAGGCAGCCACTTTCTTCTTTTTTTGTTTTTTTTCCCAGTACCAGGAATTGAACTCATGACCTTGCGCTTGCCAGGCAGGCGCTGTGCCACTGAGCTAAATCCCCCCGCCCAAGGCAGCCACTTTCTCTTTGTGTTTTTGTTTTTTCCTCTTGGCTTCTTGCTAGCGTCGATCATAAAATACTTAGGTGGTAATTCTTGCTAAAGTATCAAGTGAGCTATTTGGAGCAAAAGCCATCTTTTGTAGCTTTTTCTTAATATCCGAGGCTTACTGGGTAATAAATGTGCCTTTAAGAATAATCTGTCCTTCTACCAAATCAGGAGCCAGGGATGTATGTTTTATCAGTGCCTCTTGTAAATAATCTAAGAAGGCAGAGGGGTTCTCATCTTTCTCCTGGTGAAGAGTTGACAGTTTAAAATAATTTGGAGGGCTTACTTCTCGTCCTTTTTAGACCTTCGAGAATACCTGTCCGAAGATGTCTCCTACTCTAGTTTCCTGTCTAGTTGGTAGGCCAGTAGGGATCTTGTGTAGGGACTGGTTGTGCTCCGGTAGGAACTGGCTGTTTCCCTGGCTTCCTGTCTGCAGGGGCATGAGTTGGTAGAGGTGGCTCGTCCAACCCAACCGATCTTCTGGTCACTCTCTAATAGCAGCCACTTGCTCTGGATGGCTGAAGGAGGGGGAAAACCCCTTAAAAGCAAACATTTATCCTCACAACAATCCTATCGTGTGGCTAGTATACCCATTTTACAGATGAGGAAACTGAAGCACAGCAACATAAAGACCTTTTGCCCAAGGTCATCACTAGTGGTGGTAGAGCAGGAATTTGATGCAGTCTGTCTGACTCACCCTTCATTCTACCTTCATTTCAGACCTAGAGCAACCCCACAGGAGGTGTGGCAGCTCCATTCTCAGGTGACCCCCAGTATAGGCAATTTAGTGAGAATATTCTTGCCTGCTTCTAAAGAGGGGACAATCAAACAGCTGTTCATCAGTAGCAGCTGGTGTGAGGGCTGGAATCTCAGGCCCTTGGAATTTGGTCCTGGGGCAGCCTATGTAGAAATCATAGTATCACTAAATAAAATAAAATATTTTTTGTGTTACTAGGGATTGAACCCAGGGTCTTCACATTGAGCTATATATTCAGGCCTTCTTATTTTTTGAGACAGAGTCCTGCTAAGTCCCAGATGGGATCTGAACTTGTAATCCTTCTGCCTGGTATACTGGGATTTACAGGCAGGCACAAGCATGCCTGGTTTACGTTATGTAGATTTTGCCACCAAGAAAAATTGCACAAAATCTGGGCATGGTGATGTGCATCCATAGTCCCAGCTACTCAGGAGGTTGAGACAGGAGGCTTGTTTGAGTTCAAAAGTTCAAGGCCATTCTGGGCAATATAGTAAGGTCCCTGTCTCAGAGAAATACACACACACACACACACACACACACACACACACACACAGTGAGACAAGCTTGGATATTCCCAGATTGGATTGCAGGAGAGGCCAGACAGTGAGGAGTGATCACTGAGGCCTAAATGCATGGACAGTGAGCATGGGGTGTGACTGTCTTGATGTCCAGGGGGATGTGTTCCAGACACTGAAGAAAGAGGTCAAGTGTTTTGCAGCCCAGGCAATATTGTGGCAGCCAACTTCCCTTGACTGAGTGTGGCCTAGTAAGCACATCCCAGTAAAGCTCAGGTAGAAATGCTCAGTTCCTCCCGGGGCTCAAATTGAGACACGACACTTTACCCCCCCATTTTAAAGATGGAGAAACTATGGCTGAAAGCAACATGTCTTTATTGAAAACTATATGCACCACTATGTGTGTAGGCTTTAAGGGGCTGTGGAGAAGAGCCCAAGCTACCAGACCCTTGCTGTGTGTCACACATAATCTGGCTGAACAGGTATGAGGGTGAGTAGGGTGGATGATAAATGATAATCTGGGAACAGTGGGCAGGCAGTGGCAGGCTCTGTGGACTTCCCATAAGAAGCTGCAAGTAAATCTTAAAGGGCAGGAGGACTTGGAGAAGGGAGAGAAGGGCTGTTCTGAGACTGTGGGTGTTAGGTACAGTGTAGCAATTTATGAGCTTGGCCTAAACTGATGTAGACCATGAGATATGTGGGTGTCAGGGGATGTGAGGCTGGACAAGGCGGTGCAGGGACCCCAGCTAGAAGGCTCTAGCTCTGGCCTAGAAATAGTCAGGACCTTCTGCATATCCTAGATTGAGCAGGCAGGACTCTCCACTCTGGATGTATCCATGGCCAGCTTCCCCCAGGTCTGGGCGGTAGATAAACCCTCCCCCATCACCATTCTCCAAATCGGAACTATTTCTGCTTTTTGGGTATCTGAGGCTGGTGCAGACTCCTCCAGAAGGCCATCTTCTTCTCCTTGAGTTTCGCACCCACTCTTATGATAAAATCCAGCTGCAAGTACTTTTCATCCTTGTTGAAGCGTGGCCAATAGGGCAGCTTTCCATCATTGGGGTTCCTGGCCCAGAGGAGGAAGGAGGGAGGATTCTTCTTACTTCTCTTTTCTCTATGTCCTCTCACCCTTCCCTCCTTTCCCTTTCTCTTGAGAGTTTGGTCCCAAAAGAGCATTAGGGAAGTTGTTTTGATATTTAGATAGTTTTTGGGCAATACTGGGTATTGTATGTGGGGGCCTTCACACCAAGCTACATCTACAGCCCTTAAAATTTTTTGAGATAGGGTCCTGCTAAATTGGTAAGGTGCTCAAGCTGGGCTTGGACTTGTGATCTTCCTGCCTCAGCCTCCCAGAGAACTGGGATTACAGGTTTGTGCTATCTCACCTGGCTTTAGACAGTTTTTAGAGCAGGGCTGAGGGACTTCCAGGCAGAGGGAACAGTGCGATGAGGGTTTAGAGATATAGAAGACAGAGACTTTGGAGGAAGCACAAGTACAGCAATATATGAAAATGGTATGAGTAAAGAGGAGGTGTGTGCCAAGGGGATGACATAGGAGAGATCTTGAAGGGATTTTCATGCCAAACTAAGGGGCTAAGACTTTATCCTGGAAGCACTGGGGAGCCACAGAGGGTTTTAAGCAGGGGAGTGAGTTGATGAAATGATACTTCAGAAAGATCCTTCTAGCATCATAAGAGGATAGAAGAGAGAAGGTGGAAATGGGAAAATAGTCAAGGGGAGCCAAAGTTCAGTTCAGATATTTCCTCTGCCTGAATCCTCCTCTGTCACCTGGGGAGGGCCAGACACCTCCTCAGTGCTTTCAAAATGCCCAGTGCTATCTGGGAATGGCGGTACATGCCTATAATAATTGTTTATTTATTTATGCCTATAATCTCAGCATTCTTGAGGCTGAGGCAGGAGGATTGCTGCAAATCTTAGGCCAGCCTGGGCTACACAGTGAGCTCAAGGCCAGCCTAGATGTCATAGCAAGACCTTGTCTTAAAAAACACAAAAACCCCCATAAAGTTCCCAGTGCTCCCCGGTACACTGCTCATTGGGCCTGATTGTAGTTTTTTTGTTTTGTTTTTTTGAGACAGGGTATGGCTATGTAGTTTAGGCTGGTCCTGAACTCACTGTGTAGTCCAGGCTGGCCTTGAACCCACAGTGATCCTCCTGACTCAGCCTCCCGAGTGCTGGGATTACAGATGTGTGCCAACATGTGTGGCTGGAGTTTTGTTTTTAAGAGCTATAGGAGGAATGGGTGCACATCCATGACTCCTTAAATTCCAGCTCCCACTGCTGGAGCTCGGCACACAAGGGAGCACTGGTGACTCTTGAATGCTTGAGTGAATGAGGAATGTGGGTTATGGGACAGAGAGGGACACTTAGGACCTCGTGACTAAATAAGAGAGGTGAAGGAAGGGACTCTGGTGGGGCTGCCTGTGTAGGTCCTGAGGACATGCAAGACAGATACCCAAAGTAGCTGGCCTTCAGATTTAGTGCTGCCCAGATGTGTTGGGGGGCCAGACTCACCCTGTGCGGGCAAAATTGGCCCAGTATTTCATCATCTGGAGGCTGAGTGCCTTTTCCTTAGCTGTGGACAGGCCTGGGGACAGAATGGGGTGTGGCATTTAGGAGAGCAAGGGGTGGCGACCTCCCAGATTTTCAGGTCCCAGCACGCCAGACTAGGGACTGGCTCGCCCCCTGTGGTCAGCCAGTGGAGTGGCAGGTCTGCACACACAGGAGACTGGACATGCAGTGGTGGTGTCAGGGGTGGTTTGAGCACCTTTGGAGAAGGGTTTCCCAAAGATGAAGCCAGTCTCATCCCCATGGTCTGCCCCGTCAGTTCGAGGTTTGATAATTATGCCTGAGCGAGCGTGATGCTGAAACTCATACAGGTAGACTTGGAAACCAGCATCTACAAATAGGGAAATTGAAGAAAGCAGCAGGAAAAGTTCCAGTCCAGGCCTCCCATCCACCCATGCATCCCGCCCACCTGCATCAAGCAGGGGAAAGAGCTTCGGCTTCAAAGTCAAGGGAGTGGATTTGAATCCTGTCTGTACTACTCCTTAGCTTTGTGATCCTAGGCAAGTCACTCAACCTCTCCGAGTTCCTTGTCTGTAGAGTGGGGTTACTGAAACCTAATTCACAGGATTCTGGTAAGGATTCTGGAAGCCCTCCTCTTTCCTCCTCTGAACCTTCCTCTCTTGGCCTGGCATTTGAAGGTCTTCAGTGTCTGCCCTCTTCAGCCATATGTTCCCAAGCCCCAGCCAATCTATGTAAGACTTTCAAGTTGCCCCTAAGCTTGTCCTCTGAGAAGCCTTCCCTATGACCATAGCTTTCTCCTCTGGACTGGCTGAGGTTTCGCTCCTGTCCCTGAGAAACAACCTTTCTTCTCATGAGGTTGATGGCTGCCTCCTCTGTGCATCCCCAAACCAGCCCAGAAATGCAGAGAGAGTGGATGGACAGTTGGTGAGCCTAGTTGGAAAGCAGCAGAGCTGGAAGATGGGGTGGAGGGGGCCAGTGTGGCCACTCTTGGGGAACCCTCATACCCCGGTGGTAGCGGGCAGCTTGCAATGTGGCATACACAAAGGTGGCATCTCCAGCTAGGTCAATCAAATGGTTTCGGACTATCTTCCAATCATACTTTTGGATGTCTCTCAGGTACTCGTCGACCACAAGTGGTATCTGCTCCTTGGTGATATTCTGGGCGGAGAGGCTACACTCACCCTGAGGCCTGCCATACCAGGTGGACCAGAGCTGAACACACCAGTGACTTGGACCCAGGCTCACTCCTCCAGGAGTTTTGGGAAGTGGGGGCTTCCAGAGAAGGCCTCCCATGGCTGATGCTTACACATTTTAGTTGCATAAGAACCACCTCCCCGGACCCTGAGGATGCCTGGGGACTTTTCCCATCAGCTTCCTCTGATCCCATGCCAAACCCCTTTGGGGACCTCCAAGAAAGATTCCATCCCTGGTTGAAGACCCTTTGCAAAGGGCAGCTATTAGGCAAAAAAGTAAAAGAGGAGGGGTCAGCACAGTTCAAACTGAGCATCCCTGCCCATTAGGCCCCTTACCAACAGGGTGCTGGTGCTCCAGAGGAGCTTGGCGAGGTTTTGTTTTCTCATTAAGTGTGGGCCAAGTGGGATCTTCATGATCTGCTCACAAGACAAGGACCCAGGTAGGGAATAGGCCTGAGATCTTGCCCATCTGCATGGAGAATTCTCAGGCAGAGAACACAGCCCAGAAAAGGTCCACAACCATGTAGAGTATTCTAGTTCCCTGTTTATCACTGCCATTTGGTCTAGAACTAAAGTGGGGCTGGGAGGGTCCATCCTACACTGACTCAGGAGCGAAAGAGGGCCCCAGGGTTTGTCATTGCCTGGAGGCTGCGGGATAGACATTATAACCTATCTAAACTATGATCTGAGAACTTGGGTACCCCAAACCTCCAGGAGGCCAACTTCTTCCTCCTCCCTTCCTTCACTCTTTGCCAAGCTCTCCCTGTGCAGGGTTTCCAAAGCAGGAGTTTCTCAGGGTTTGCTAAACAGGAGATTCCTAAGCATTTGTGTGTCCCAGAGGGGCTCTTGGGAGCTAATTTGGTGCCTAGAACTGCTCAAGAAGCACCCTTTGCCACCCCACTGTTATGAGTACCCTTCCCACTCACTTACATATGGCAAGAGCCAATTGAACTCCTGGCTGTTGACACCTAGAAGGTAGGGCATAGGCAAAATGTGCCCCCGCATCAGGAGCACCACAGGGTCATCTGGGAACACCACACCGTCCACTACAGGGCTCAGGAACCATGTTATCTGCAAGGCCAGGGCATTTCTAGCCAGTCATCCCACATATCCACACAGGGTCACTGTAACCTGAGGTGTATAGCTCAGCAGGTCATCCTCCAGGGACTGTTCTAACCTAGGCTCTTTGGGAAAAAAACTGGGACTGACCATGGTGACCCTTTGGAAAGTGGGTGTTGGAAGGGCCAGGACAGACAGGACTAAGATACCAGATTTGTGATGCTTGCCTCAGGTATCCACATAGCTCACTCCCTCATCTCTTAAAAATCTTTGTAAAATGTCACTTCAATGAGGCCTGCACTATGTTTTCCTTCTTTCCTTCCTTCCTTCCTTCCTTCCTTCCTTCCTTCCTTCCTTCCTTCCTTCCTTCCTTCTTTCTTCTCTCTCTCTTTCTCTCTCTCTCTTTTTCTCCTCTCTCTCTTTTTCTACTGGAGATTGAATGCCAGTCCATTCCCTTCCCCCACTATTTTTTAAGTTTTGAGACAGGATCTTGCAATCCTCAAGATCTTGAGTCCCAAGGTTGCCCAGGCTGCACTTGAAATTATGATCCTCCTGCCTCAGCCTCTCAGAGTACTGAGATTACTGGGTATGACCCCATATCCCACTCTTATCTATTCTATTTAAAATTCTAAGAAAAAAAAAAAAAAGAAAAAAATTCTATCCTTTGCATCATGCCTGACCCCCTTACCTTCTCATTTGCTATTCATTTATCACTTTCTAAGGAGATGACTGATTAGGCTATTGTCCCTTCTCATTGGAACTAGAGAAAAGATCTTGGCCTGAGCAATGCCCCAAGTATCCTGAGTGCCTGGCACACAGTAGAGTTCCATAAATACTCAAATTGTAGGATGTGGCCAGCTCACCTCTTGAGGTTCTTTCTGGAAGTTGTTGTGAAGCAATTTCTGTAAGGGAGTGGAGGGGATCAGAATTAAAGGAAGGCCCCTTGGGGAAGTCACTGGGGTGTCTGTAGCCTGCAGGCAGCTGGAATGTTCTACTTACCATTTTCTTGGACACCCGCATCACCTGAGCCCCTGACAGAGCCCTCAGACAGTTTACCATGATCTTTGTGTCACTGTGGCTGCAGCCTGCCAGGAAAGCAACCTTCTGTAGAGAGAAGGGTGTTCAGGGATGTTCCAGTCCTGTCCCCTCTTGTTCAGGCCTGAGAGAGGAGAGATACCCACCTTGGCCACCTTCAATGGGTCACGAGTGATGAAGGTTTTAAATACTGCAGTGCCACTCTGGGAAATGGCCCTATGGAAGAAACCCTGGGCTAGGGGTGACACCATCTGTAGGGATGGGGAGTAAGGCACCCATGAGATGTGCAAATAGGACTACTTTGTCCACCCTTGCACCCCAACTGTCCCAGTTCTGTCCATGTGGCTTCTTGCCTCAGCCTCCTAGAGTCCTGGGACTATAGGCATGCAGCACCATGCTCGTCTCTGTCTCTAATTTTTTTTTTTTTTTTTGATCTTCCTCTAATTTGAAGCCAGTTGCCATTACCTCCTCTGGGATAAATCTTGCTTCTCTGGCCCTACCATTCTCTTAGTTGGTCTCCAAATCTGTGTTTCAGCTTCTTTCCAACTTGATCCCATGCAGCAGGCTGAGCTACCTCTCTAAATGTACATCTGATTATAACACTTTCCTACTTAAAAGCTGCCCCTGTTCTCCAATGCACTTTGGATAAAGTTGCTCAATTTCTGTGGGCCTCAGTTTCTTCATCTGTACAATGGGAACAGCAATACTTTTCTCATAGGAATGTTGAGATGATTAAATCAAGGAATAGACATGAAATGCATGGAAGAATGCCTGGCACCCAGAAAGTGTGTGTATGTTACAGTATTATTACTGTGGCCTGCAAGGACATGAATAATGTGGTCCCTGCTCACTTCTCAGCCCTATGTCCTACACAAGGGACCTTTTAACCTACCCTCCACATTCACCCCACATCAAAAGTCCTCCTAGAGTATCAAGACCAGAGCCGGGTCTCCAACACTTGTCCCTAACTCCCAGGCTAGGTCGGTGGTGGGGACAGAACTCTAGGGGGAGAGTGGGGGAGGCAAGAGGTGCTGGATGCCCACGGGGAATTCACTGAATAGCCCAAGTGTCAGTATCTTCCTCCCTGGGTCTTGGTTTTTCACCAGTGCTGTCCCTGTACAGGGCAGGCACCCTTGGCTGTGAAGAGTGGTACCCTTGACAGGGGGAGGGCGGGGTCTGCGGGCTGGTGTGTTTCTGTACACTTCAATCTGCGCACACGTCTGTGCAGTAGAGAGGATACCGTTGTGGGAACACGTGGGCCTGTGTCTGCTGGTCCATCAGGGCCTCGCACTCACCAGTCCTGAGATGCACATAGCCCCCGCGGACTGGCCAAACAGGGTCACGCTTTCTGGGTCTCCTCCAAAGGCTTCGATGTTTTCCTGCACCCAGTGCAGAGCCGCCACTTGGTCCAGCAACGCCCAGTTCCCGCGGGCCTGGCTGTCGCCAGTGCTGGGCGCGTGGGATTTAAGGTCAGGGTTTCAAACTTCAAGAGTCGGGATGCAGAAAGCTCCCAGTCAGCCCTGCACCCCCTTACCTTGACCTTCTGAGACTCAGCCCTGCAACCTCGTCTTCTTTAGAGTTAGGCTCAACCCCCTGAGGAAGTATCCGGCCCTCCTTTCTCCCACTAAGCATCAGCTCGGGCCTCTGCCCGCTTCCCGGTGTCATATTCCTGTACCTCGCCCCTCCGCGGCCACTCGTCCCCGCCTCCTCCCTGGGCGGCGCCCCTTCACAGCCTCGGGTCCCAGCCTCCTCCGCCCAGAGCCCCCGGCGCCAGGCCCCGCCCACCTCAGGAAGCCCAGGATGCCGAGCCTGTACTGCAGAAATACCAGCACCACTCTTTCGCGCGCGGCGAGCTCAGAGCCTTCATAGGTGGAAGCGGCGCCTACGAGGAAGGCGCCTCCCGGGAACCAGACCATCACCTGGGAGAGAAAGGCCGAGGACTCAGCGGGGCGGAGTGGGATGAAGGGGAATGGGAGACCGAGTGCTCACCGGCAGCAGAGGATCCCCAGGCGCGCGCACCGGCGCGTACACGTTCAGGTACAGGCAGTCTTCGCTGAAGCGCAGCCAGCTGTACCGTTTCCGCGTGTTGAAGTACATGGACGCTATCTGCCCCCAGGACTCCTGAAGGCACCTGTGGGCACGGTGTGACTTTGGACTCAGGCTCAAAGATGGCAGTGGGGAGAGTAGTTTCAATCTAGGGTCCACGGTAGGAGACAGAACCACAAAGGAAATCCAGGCAGCCCTCCCCACTTCCCCATTCCCAGAGGCCTCCACTAGCTTTGCGGTGCGGGATTGGGAGGCAGGTGGTTCTCCCTAGGATCCATCCCATCCAGATTCCTATGGCTGCTTGCTTCCCACCTCCAAGCCTCTCTGTACCGCTGTTGTCTTTGTCAAATGCGCTCTGCCCAGCAAATTCCTATTCATGTTTGAGGCTAGATGGGGTGGTGCCCTTGTGTCGGGCGCATCCCCATCTCATGTCCCCCAAGGCTCTGTCCACTCTTGACCATAGTACTGCTCAGAGTCATTTCAGTTGGTAATGTTTCTGAAGTGGCCAAGCACACCTATGAGCAGGGGTGGAGATGGATTCATCTGATGCCTGGCACCCAGTCCAGTGCCCTGTACTGTGTAGACTTTCGGGGTATCGGTGGAGTATGGCCTGCAGTCACCTCCTTTTTTTTTTTCCTGCTGGCCCAGCCCCTAAAGTGGCTATTGTAAGGTTGGGAGCGAACCAGTTTGCTTCGGTGCAGGAAACCTGTCTGCCTATTCCTGCTCTTCCTTTTCCTGGCCCCACCCCCCGGAGCATCACAGTCCCTCTCTTTCCCAACAACACAGCAACCTGCCTTATCCAAAGCTCTCCTCTTCCCCACGTTCCCCAGCTACTGTCCTTTCTTCCCCTAGGCCAAGCTTTTAGCTGATATTCTTTCCCTCCACCCCCACCCAGCCATGTCAAGGCCCCCAGCGGGCAGCGTATTTTTATTTCTACACATTGTCTTTGGTCTTCCTTGCTTCATCACTTGGCAGCAGCTTATGTTATTCTTAGGGTGCTGTCTGATAAATCACATCTGGGCTCTCACTAGGAAAACCAGCGCTCTTATGGCCAAGAGTGAGCAGCTGAAGCAGAGGAATGGTGGGGGAGGGGTGGAGAGGAGATGTAAAAAAAGTTAAGATGTGTTATGTACATGTACCAACTCCTCACCATGAATTATGTACTGCAAACATGTACCAATAAAAATAAAAATTGAAAAAAACAAACACCAGAGGCTTCTGTCCTCATCCCACCACAAAAGCCACTCTTGTCATGGGCATCAGTGATCCTCATCCCGCTAAATCCCTGCTGCTGTCTCACTTAACCCTGCCAACCTTCAATGTAATTGACCATTCTTTCTTTTTAATTTGAGACAAGGTCTCACTATATAGTTCAGGATGACCTGGAACTCACTATGTAGTCCAGGCTGGCCTTGAACTCACAGCGATCCTCCTACCTCAGCCTTTCAAGTGCTGGGATTGCAGGCATGTGCCCCTACACTGGCCCCCTCCCTTCTTGAAGAACTGTTCTTTTCTAGCTTTTTCCAACACCCCACTGCCCTGATTTCCTGCCCCCTCCTTGGTAGCACTCCACCTAAACATGACACTGCCTCAGCCTTGCCAGCCCTCAGTTCTCTTTGCTTTCTTCCCATTCTTTCTTAAGTTGTTTTCTTCCAGGCCCTGAGCTTCACCCCGTTGACCTGCTGCTGTCATTTTCATGCAGACGGCAAGTTTGCCTCTGGCCCCCCTCCAGCCACCTACTCAACATCTATACATGGTCGTCTATCAGCTCATCAAACCTGACATGCCCCGATGAACTCTGATTTTGCCCAAACTTACTCTTGCCCCAGTCTTCCCCATTTTGGAAACAGTACTCTGTCCTCTCAACAGCTGTGGCCAAAAACTCGTTATGCATGATTCTTCTTCCTCTGTGGTTCATATTCAATTCTAGGGTAAATCCCATCAATTTTACCTTTAATAAATCTGGAATCTGACTATTTCCTACCACTTCCCCTGTAATTATGCTAGTGGAAGCCACCATTTCTACAGCAGCCTCCTGTTTCCCCGGTCTCTCTAGTCACCCTTTCCCATAGGCTGTTCTAGGCAACCCACAAATTTTTACAACTGACGCTGTGTTTCAAATAGCCCTTATTATGTCAGTATACTGCCTGCGTTCCAACAGCTGACATGCACACTTCTATGCAATGGACATCAGATCCTCAGGGTTCTAACAATGGTCATTCCATGCTCTGTCACCTGATAATAGGAGTTCCAAGTAGTAGTCACAGTGCATGCCTGCCATCCTACCCCTTGGGAGGCTGAGGCAGAATTGACATGAGTTCAAGGCCAACCTGTGCTACATAGTTTAAGGCCAGCCTGAACTACAGAATGGGACCCTGTCTTAAACACCAACCAACCAACCAACCAACCAAATAAACAAACAAGCAAAAAGAATGCTCTAAATAACTATCACACAATCTTCAGAATACCTGGGGTACACTCCATGACAATCAGTGTTCTAACAACTAATATCCTGGTATATTCTACCACATTACTTCTCACACTACCACACTAGTAGTGACCACACTACTTCTCTGTGGTCATATTCTAACAATGGAGACCTCTTCTTAACGGCTACTCACCCAGGTGGGAGTTGCAGTACTTTTTCTCCCACCAGTGGATATATTATAAAGAGTTCTCATAACAACTGGGAGTTGTAGTTGTTTTTTTTTTTTTTAAATAGCAGCTGATATTGTCACTGAAGTTTCTCATAACAGACATTTTTCTAAACCCGTTCCTTGGAGGCTTCCATATTTAGTGACCACCAGAGGCTCCTGGCCATGCACAGTAGATGCTGAACGTTGTTAATGATTGCCACAGAATGTTCTGGGCAGTGGATTACTCAATGATCTAAATAAACAGTAAATACGTTTGTTCTGGGTAAACTGCCAAGCCCAGTGTTTCAAAGGAAGGTCATTGCCCCAATCTTCTTGTGTGACTTAGGGAGTGCAGCATGGTTGGAGGTGGGAGCAAGACCCTGGAACTTGAAAGCTGAAAGTGAGCCTGTATGTTCCTACCTTGGAGCTCCCTCTGAGGGAAGGGCTGGCAGTGCCATGTGGATTTGTTACTGGGCTCAAGGGAGAACTCTGGGCTTGCTCAAGGGGCTGGGGAGCGAGTGAGTGCTGCTTCTCAGCTGCATTTAGGAAACCCAGGGCCCCAGAAGGTCCCAGGGAAGAATTAGTGACCACCTTGCTTTACTTGGAGCTCTCCTGTGCAAAACCATGATCAGTTATCAGTATTTTCAGGATCATTTGGACAAACCATCTTGTTATACAGGTGTAGAAACTGAGGCCTCAAAGGGCCTCTGGCCTGCCTGTGCTCACACAGTATGTTTATCTCAGTGAATTGTTCAAAGCCCCACCTGGAGGTAGTGGTCCTAAGGGCCTGCCCACCTCCCAGGCTTTTGGTTCTTACGCAGGGGGGTAGGTGGTGGCACGTCTGACTCCTTTCCAGGGCTCTGGGGGCTTAGGCGGAGCAAATCTGAGGTCACCCACAGGAGGTTTGGAGAAGGGGATTCCAAGGAAGACATGGAGGGGAGTCTTCCCTACGTGCACCTGCTTTCCTTGGAGGCTTCCATATTTAGTGACCACCAGAGGCTCCTGGCCATGCACAGCACCTGGGAGAGAAGGAAAAAGAGTCATTCTGGCTCAACTGCTCTGAGCCACAGATGAAACTCTGGCCCATCTTCCACGGGAGCTATTGTTACTTTTCATAACAAGAAAAAAGCTTATGGGGGTGTGGTGGTGCATACCTGTAATCCCCACACTCGAGAGGCAGAGACAGGAAGATCACTGAGTTTGAGGCCAGCCTAGGCTACGTAGTAAATTCTAGGATAGCCTGTACTACATAGGAAGACTTTATCTCAAAAAACCAAACCAAACCAAACCAAACCCAAACAAAACAAAACAAAACAAAACAAAACAAAACACTGGGAATGTAGCTCGATGAGAAGGCCTTGGGTTCGATCCTCAGTATGCAAAACAGATAAAAGTACATGTCTTTTATATGAACTGTTTCTCTCTGTCATTTAATGTCAATAAATATGTTATTTAACCTGACTTCTGTTTGATATTAGTATGGCTATACTTTTCATTTTTATTTTCTTGTTTCCATTTCGTTCCTTTTCCTTTCTAATGGCACTGAGGCTTGAATACAGGCCACTTGCACTGAGCGACAGCCCAAGCCCTTTTTTAATTTTTAAATTTTGAGACAGAGTCTTACTAAGTCCCTAAACTGCCCAGGCTGGGCTCACACTTGGCAATCCTCCTGCCTCAGCCTTCCAGAATGCTGAGATTATAGGCATACATCACACTTTAGCTTTTTCTTTGGTTTATTTTTGTTTTTTGAGATCAATCTTACTATGTAGTCTAGGTTAGCTTCAAATTTGGAATCCTTCCTCAGTCTCCCGAGTAGCTGGGATCACAGGTGTGGGAAACAACATCTGGCTTCACTCCTTCTCTTTCCTCTTCTCCTTTTTCCTCTGCTCCTTCTCCTTCTTCTTTTTCCTCTACTTCTTTTCTTTTTTATTTTTTTGAGATAGGGTCTTGCTATGTAGCCCAGGCTGGCTTCAAATTTGCAGCAATGCTCCTGCCTCAGCCTCTGGAGTGCTGGGGCAAAAGGCCTGTGCCACCGTGCCTGGCCTGGATACACTTCTTGTTGCAAACATATGCCTGGTATATTTCTGGGAAGGAGTCATATATACATACACAATCTCACTTTTTTTTTTTTGAGACAGTACTAATTTAGGCTAGACTTGAACTCACTAGGTAGCCCAGGCTGGGCTCAAGCTCACTGTAAACCTCCAACCTCAGCTTCCCAAGTGCTGGGATTTTAGGCATGCTTCAACTACATTTGGTTATATTCTCACTTATATACACACTTGTATCAATAAGCATCTATATGTGCAAATTTGTCATATTTGTATATAAGAAGTACATGAGCACGGCTCATCTACAAAGAAGCATACAGAGCTGGACATGCTGGCACTTGCTTGTAATCCTAGAACTCTGAGAAGTTGAGGCAGGGAGATCACAAATTTGAGTTCAGCCTGGGCAATTTAGCCAGATTGCATCTCAAATTTTTAAAAAAGGGCTTAGATTCTAGCTCATTGTTAAGACCCTGGGTTTGGTGCCCAGTAACACACACACACACACACACACACACACACAGATTGAGAGAGAGAGAGAGAGAGAGAGAGAGAAAAGAAGACAAGTGTGGTAGTGCACACCTGTGATCCCAGCACTTGGGGGCGGGGGGCTGAGGCAGGAGGATTGCTGAGAGTTTTGAGGCCAGCCAGCCTGGGCTACATATTGAGTTCAAAACCAGCTTAAACTATATAGTGAGACCCTGTCTCAAAACACCAACCCCCTCAAACAAAAGCAAACAAAAGAATAGAAAGAAAGATACAGAAATACAAGGGTCAAATACACATACAGATGCACGCATACCTGTATAGAAGCTCTGTACAGATATACATATATACCCTATCCATGGCATGCATTCACATATTACACACACAGTAAAAGGATACCCACATCATAGCCAGGTCTGGAAATAGATATGAAATAGGCCAAGTTGAGAGCCAGGCATGCATACTTGGAAGGCTGAGGTAGGAGGATCACTGTGAGTTCAAAGCCAGCCTGAACTACATAGTTGGATTCAGCCATCTGCCTGTTGGTACTTGCTTTCTTCTAAGTGGTCATCCTGCCCTCCTCTGACCAGCAAGGGTTGGTGAGGCCTCATGTCCATGTCCATGTCCCTGCAGAATCCTTGTTTATTCTTCCCCTTCCTTCTCAAAACAGAATGGTTCTGTCTGTACATCTGTCTCTCAGAGCTCATGGTGCAAAGTGACAGACATCAAATGTGGTCCAAATAATTACACTGCCTGGCTGTGCATCAGAATCATTTGGGGATCACTGTGAAAATACAGATTCTGAGGCTCTACCCTCATTCTCTGAATGAGAATCTCAGAATTGTATCAAGAAATTAGATTTGCAAAGCTCTCCAGAAGATTTTGTTGCAGTCGCTTTTGAGAACAGCATTTGGAATTGGTGTGATAGAGCACACTCTCACGCTCCCGGCTGTAGGTGGCCCAAAATACTGCCCACACCTACAGGTCTCCCCAGGTCTTACATAAGCCACACCTGAGTACAAAGGAGTGACTGTAACAGTGGCACTTGGGCACGGAGGCAGGTCAGTAGGGCAAGGGGCCTTCTCATACCTCCTCTGTGTGTGCAGCCCTTGCACTGGCTCTGGGAGGAGCAGGAGGGGGAGCCCAAGGCCTCTCACTACAAGGCCATTGACCAGCCTGTGGTCACTTCATGATGGAATAGCCAACAGCTGTCATTTCTGGATCTTTCGTTATAGCCCAGCACTATATCATCTCACCCCATTCTCCCTGAAAATGATTCAGGCAAATGGTACTACACAGATATGGAAATGGAAGTGGGTAAGTCACTTGGAGATATCCCACATCAGAGCTCTGCTCTAAACCATGGGTGTCTGTCTGTCTAACTACCAGCTTCAGGTGTGTGTGGGGGAACAATGTGGCAAAGTGCACTCTTTTTCCAAACAAGAGTTGCTGTGGCATGGCTCTGATCCCAGCTGGCTACGCAGAGGTGACTTATGAAGACACTTATTAGTAGTCAGAAAATGTTACTTAAAAGCTGGAGTTAAAAGAATTAAGATATGTTATTGGCTGGGAATGGTGGCTTATGCTTATAATCCCAGCCCTCAGGAGGCTGAGGCAGGAAGATTGCTGTGAGTTCCAGGCCAGCCTGGACTACACAGTAAGGCTCAGTCTCAAAAAGCAAAAACAAAACAAAAAGAATAAAAATAATAAACCAAATAAATAAGCTAGTTTTTTAGAAAAGATATGGCTGCAGATTAAAATTAGACCCATGTCTTTTTGTCCCATGCACTATACTAAAATTGAAATGGATCAAAGATCTAAATATTAAAACAGAAACATTAAACCTGCTGGGAGATAGAATAGATAGACCTCCTGAAGACATTGGTGTATGCAAAGAATTTATGAACAAAATCCTAACTGCACAGAAACTACCACAATGACTGAGATCTCATTTATTAAAAAGCTTGTTGCACAGCAAGAGAAACCACCAACAGAGTGAGAACACAACCCATAGTGTGAAAAAAAATTGTTGCCAGCTGTTCTCAGACAAAGGACTACTACCTAGAACTCAAAAAAAATCAGATGTCCCCCCAGATTTAAAGACCCAATCCAAAATTGGCATCTGAGATAAATAAATAATTCTCAGATGAAGAAGTACAAATAGCAAATAAATATATGAAAAAATGTTCAACAGCACTGGTCAGTGGAGAGAGGCAAATTAAAACAACTTTGAGATTCCATCTCACCCCAGAAAGAATGGCTGTTATCAAGAAATTAACCAATAACCAATGCTGGTGGGGCCAGGTGTGGTGGCGCACGCCTGTAATCCCAGTACCTTGGAGGCTGAGGCAGGAGGATCACTGTGAGTTTGAGGCCCACCTGGGCTACAAAGTGAGTTCAAGGCCAGCCTGAGCTGCATAGTGAAACCCTGTCTCAAACGGCAAAAAAAACAAAAACAAAAACAAAAACAAAAAAACCCAGAAACAACAAAAACAAAACAAACCAAAACAACAACAACAACAAAAATGCTGGTGAGGCTATGGGGAAAAAGGAACACTTCTCCACTGCTGGTGAGAGTGTAGGCTGGTGCAACCACTGTGGAAATCAGTGTGGAGATTCCTCAATAAACTAGGGCTAGAGGTCGCATTTGACCCAGTCATTCCCCTTCTTGGTATCTTCCCAAAAGAATTAAAAGCATCATATCACAGTGATATATGCACACCCATGTTTACAGTGGCATAATTTGTGATAGCCAAATCTTAGAAACAGCCCAAATGCCCATCAGCTGGTGAATGGGTAAAGATGTGTGTGTGTGTGTGTGTGTGTGTGTGTGTGTGTGTTTTTAATACAATGGAGTACTACTCTGCCATAATAAAGGATAAGCTTGAGACATTTCTAGGTAAATGGATGCACCTTGAAACCATACTCTTAAATGAAATAAATTGGATACACATGGGTAAATACTGCATTGTTTGTCTGATGTGAGAAACTGAAAGTGTAAATAAGGATTAAAATGTATAATAGGTATTGTGAAACGGGAAGAAAATGTTCAAATGGGGAAGAGAATAAGGGAGGGGAGGGGGAAGGAAAGAAGGAAAAAGTAAAAATAATGAGAAAAGAAGGAAAAATGGAAACAAAGCTTTTGTAAATGGGGAGGGGAGGAGGGGTTGAAGGCAGGGCGGTGGAATGGGAAAAGAAAAAGAAATAAGTTATATCATGTACAGGTACAACTTCTCTATGATGAATGCGATCATTCTACATACCTAAAATATACCAATAAAATCTGATTAGAAGAAAAAAATAAAATATTTGAGACTGAAAAAAAGATATGTACTTGTTCCAACTCCCACAATGAATATGTGCTTCAAATATGTACTAAGGCTGGGTGTGGTGGTGCACACCTGTAATCCCAGCACTTTGGAAGCTGAAGCAGGAGGCTCCCCATGAGTTTGAGGTCAGTTTGGGTACATAAGCAAGTTCAAGACCAGCCTGCACTATGTAGTGAGACCCTGCCTTAAAAACAGACAAACAGGTTGGGAGTGGTGACTCACACCTGTAATCCTAGCACTCAGGAGGCTGAGGCAGGAGGATCGTTGTGAGTTCGAGACCAGCCTGGGCTACAAAGTGAGTTCAAGGCCAGCCTGAGCTGTATAGTGAGACCCTGTCTCAAAAAGACACACACAAAAAAACAACAAACAAACAGACAAATCAACCAAAACAAAGCCAAAAAAGCAAATATGCACTAAGCAAAAAGCAGGGGTTACAGCTGCTATCTGGAAAATTAAAATATGATATTATCCAATTCTAGTGAAGATACACTGGAAAGGACATTTGCATATACTGTTAGTGGATAATAAGTTCATACAACATCATGGGAAAATAATTTGGACAAATATATAAAGAGCCGCAGAGCATTCACATGCTTTGATTCAGTAAGTCCATTTCTCGCTCCCTCCCTGATGTCAGAATCACCAAGACAAGGACCGCTCTGAACTGTAGTGGATACTGAAAACATCATATTTATTTAGGGACCAAAGTAAATAAATAAACAAATAAATATTACTTTAAACTGCCTTCAGTCAGATTTTAAGTTAAAAAAAGAGCAGAATGTAAAATTGTATACAGCTAACATTACAGCTACATATAAATATACAACAAAAAGACTAAAGAAGATGCACCAAAATGCTAAAAGTAGTTTTAGCAAAGTTGCCCTCAAATTAAAAATTATTTATAATAGAGATCAGCAGATTGGTTGCTTGGAAGGTATTTAGGAAAGGGGTACATGGGCTGCTGGGAATATTCTAGATCTTGGTGGTTACACTGTGTACGTATAATATATTTTGTGTGTATGTATAATGTAATTAATATAATATATAATTGCACAAGTAAGATGTGTACATGTTATTGTATGGATCTTATACCTCAGTAAATTTTTGCTAATGTGCTATGTGGTTTACATAGTCCAAAGTACAACAATAATAAAAAAAGACACTGGGGAGAAGCGCACAGGTAGTAAAGTGGTTCCTGTAGGAGAAAGGGAGGCAGAAGTAGTACTCCTGTGAAGGAGAAGGAAGGAAGGAGGAAGGGACAAGGACCTGCTATGTTCTGGCATCTCCTTATTGGTTCTGGGAGTCAAAAGACACTCCTCCCACCCCCATTTACAGAGCAGCCCTGGGTCTCAGAGAAGCAAAAGGTCTTGTTCAGACTGCCAGCTGATGGGTGGATTAGTGTGCTGAACCAGCACCCTCCATCTGCCCAGGCCTTGTCTAAGGGCCCCTGGCCTGTTGTCCCAGGAGAGGTCGAGCCGTGTCTGACTTGCTCTGGAGTAGTTGAAGGTCTTACCTGAGGCTGTGTGTACCACCAAACAGAGGACAGGAATCCAAATTAGAATCCACCTCATGCTGTGGTCAGCTCCTGCCACAGGCCAGAGTGATATCAACATGCTGACGATAGCTGTGACGGCCACTTTTATCTTCCCTCCATCCCTATCAGCAGGTAACGCTTCCGACCAGCCCACACTCTTGTCTTTGGCTTCTGACAACAGGTCACGATCGCTGCAACCCCTGCCCACTTCGCACGTGTGTGGGCAATGGCTTAAAGCTAGCAGGTGTGAGTTGAGCTCTGAGCATACAGTAGATGACAAGATCAGAGCCAAACTCTGGGTCACTTGGCCCCTCAGCTCCCAAGTTTCCTCTTTGTGGATATAGGGGCCTTGGGCCACTCTGCTCCCCTCTACTTTGCCCAGACCCTTCTGCAGTCTTTCTCCTGTTATGGCTGTCAGCCAGGAGCACTGCGGAGCAGGAGGCCCCACACGCGGGGAAGGACATTAGAGTGGTGGTCGGGCTCATGGGTTTCCAGTCTGTGGGTAGCCAACCTGGAAGCAACTGTGAGAGGTCTGGAGGGGACGTCTAGTGAGCCCAGGGTTAGGTGATGAGAAGGAGGTTTCTCTTTACTAATCCTCTAAGTAAAGGATGAGGAGGAGTCAGCCAGGCAAAAGAGTCATCCAGGCAAAGATCCTGCCTGAAATTTGGAACTTCAGGAGCATGGAGGATGCAGGGAAAGAAAATCAAAGAAAATCTGTATTATGAACATAGTTCGCAGGCCACTTTCTAGAAAATCCTTGTATGCTGATTGGGGTTGGAGACTTCAGGTTCACTGTGTCCTGGGCCTAGGATGGCATATCGTGTCCCCTCCCTGTTAAGCCCTTGCTGTTGGCAAGATAGATGTCTTCACCTGACGGCAGCCATGCAGATGTTTCCTAAGGTCATTGCCTACAGCCCTTGCCTCAGAAACTTGTTCTGAGAGATGTCCAAAACACACAAGAAATTGTTTACACCATAAATGCCTAGTGTTTTGTTTTGCTTCACTCTAAAACACCTGGAAGGAAAGGGGGAAGAAGGGATGTTACAGCCACGGGATGTAATAAGCTGCAGAGTGACATGTGTCACAGCTTCTGCAGTGGCAGCTGGTTAGTGTGGTGGCTCTGAGCCAGGCTGCCTGCATCTGAATCCTAGCACTGTCCCATACCACCTGTGAGACCTTGGGCAAATCACTTGACTTCTGCCAGTCTCAGTTTTATCATTGGCAAAATTAGCGGAAGGGTAGAACAGATCTCTTATGATTGTAGTGAGGGTTAAGAGAGATAATGAAAGTAAAACACGCCAGGCATAATGGCACACCCATCATCTCAGCACTGTGGGAGGCTGAGGCAGTATGGTTGCCAAATTTGAGCCCAGCCTGGGCAACTTAATGATTTAGCAAGACCCTGTCTCATAAGAAGGGTGGGGAGGGTGGCTGGGGATACAACTCAGAGCTAGGTTTAATTCTCAATATCACAGGGGCGGGAGGGAATAAAAAGAAGAAAAAGAAAAAGAAAGCAAAAGAAAGTAAAGCACTCTATGGGGGAAAGAATCCAGGAAGCTTCCCCCATACCAAAATCTGAGGATTCTTAAGACTGTTACATAAAATTGTATAATTTTGCACATACATACACATATCCTCCAATATACTTTTATTTATTTATCCTCCAAAATACTTTAAATCACCCCTAGAGTACTTATAATTACAAATACATGTAAATAGTTCTTAGGCTGTGTTGTTTAGGGAATAACAACAAGAAAAAAACAGTATGTGTATAGTATAGATGGTTTGTTTGTATGGTACAGGGTCTTAATAAGTCCCTAAGGTGCCTAGACTAGGTTTGAACTTCCGATCTCCCAGTCTCAGTGCTGAGCTTACAGGCATGCATCACTACACCCAGCTCATATTTTCTTTCATGAACATTGGTAGAGGGTTCACAGTCAGTGTGTGATTTTTTGGGGGGGACGTTGAGACAGAGTTTAGCTGTGTAGTTCAAGTTGACCTTGAACTCTCCGTGACCTTCCTGTCTCAGCCTCATGAGTACTGAGATTACAAGCATGGCCCACAACACCTGGCTTTCAGTGTGGATTTTTTGTTGAGACAAGGTGTCACTACGTAGTCCAGGCTGGACTTGAACTCACTATGCAGCTCAGGCTGGCCTTGAATTTACAGCAATTCTCCTGCTTCAGCTTCCCGAGCACTGGGATTATAGGCATGTGCCATGATGCCCAGCTCAGCATGGGATTTAAAAAAGTAGCAATGATGGGGTAGGGAAGACAGATCTGGGGAAGTAGGGTCTACCAGCAGCTCTATTTGGCCCCTGTGTTGACCACTTTTCTCTCTTCATCATCTTCTTCTGCTGAGCTTCCTGTGGGTTGTGGCCACACTATTAGAAGTATGGAATTTAGGCTGTAGGAGATGAAAGAGTGTCTTTCTTCTGCTGCCCCGGCCCTTGACCAAGTTAGCCCAAGCACCCTAGAATATATCTGAAAGCATAGGCCTATCAGGGGAAGGGAATGGAGAAGGCAAACATGAGCCCACCCTCCAGTCCTGGGTCCAGATACACATAGGCTCCCCTACTCAGATGTGCTGTTCCTTGGGCAGTTCTGTGTGGACCTTATGGGCCAGTCTTGCCAACAGGTGGCCCCATTTTTGCCACCTCCCCAGAGAAGTAACAACTTTCACCTGGTCCATATGGAAAGCAGTTGTGCCTGGCCAGGCACCTCAGTGGGGTGTCCAGGTCACAGAAGGCCCCATCCAGTGTGCACATGGGCCCAGGGGACACTGAATAAGCCACCAGGTCAGTCAGGTCCTCTGGCGCAGCATTATCTTAGGGATCAGAAGCAGTTCTCAGGAAGCCAGAATTCCCCCACATATCTTGCTAGCATTTTCTTCAGAACATTCATAAGTTTCCTAGCTGCACAAAGGGAACACAGGCAACAATGTGAAATGGGCTTTGAGCTCTGAGTCTGACAGATGTGGACTCCAAGTTGACTTAGTTGCTCACCATCTATGCGTTACCATGAGTGATGAGGTCCTGGACAGGTTCCTAGTTCTTGTGCTATGAACAGAGTTGGATGTGCCATGTGATGGTAAAGAAAAAGCAGCAAAGTTTAACTAGGCAAAGTTTAATGCTGAGAGTGAGTGGGTCACACCAGTAGCAAGGAAAATGGCATGAGTGCTGAAGGTTGAAGGATTTAAAATGTGCCAGATGTAAGGTGACACTCACTGTGGCTTCCAGCGCATGACTGACAATGTGACTGACAGTGCTGAGTCACGTTACCAGTGTCTGTTACACATATCCTTTCTCATAACTCTGTTGTAGTTGGATGTATGAGATACAGTACATTTACATGACCCTTCAGTGAGCTCCAAAGAAAGGTTATAGTAGGTCATGCTGGAGGATCTGGCATACATGTCTCCTGGTTTTGAAATTTGGAATTTTCCAGGGCAGGGTCAGGGTTCTTTCTTTTCTTGTCTCTGCCTCTAAGTAGTAAGCCTTAGGACAAAGCTCTAGGGGTTGGCCCTTGGGCATTACTCAGGCTCAGATGAGTGGAAGGGAGTAGCCCCATAGCCCCCATTGTACTATCTATATTAACAGTATAAATTCCTTTTTTAAAAAATTGATTTAAAAGGCAACTGTACAAAGTACAGTAATGTATTTATAATGTGTTACCAGTCTGGCAACCAGATAGAAATGCCCTATATTTGCCAGTGACAGAACAAAGGAAATGGGTGGGAATGAAGCTGTTTTGCTCATACTGTTCTGTCTGTGTCGGGGGTGGTGAACCTATGGAGTATGCTGCAGCTGGCTGCTTGTTATCATTGAAGCTCTAAAAGATTTGCTATCACTGCTCTATGTGGAACACTTTCCTCTGTGCTGTCAAACTAAGGAACTCCTACTTATCCTCCAAAATCAGGCTTATCCTTTTCCAGGGTACCTTTCTGGATGTACAGTACATTCCTATAGGACAGAGGCAGATCCTGCAGCCTCTTGTATGAGATCAGTGTGCCCAGTCTTATGATATAAACAGGGACCCAAGTCCTCTGTAACAGGAGAGACTTGCCCAAGCTCATGAGCAGCAACAGCCTAGAGCCTGGCTGAGTCTGAGCGTCTGGACTGGCTGCTGGCAGAGGTGCCTGGACCTGGGGGTGAAGGGGCTCAGACCTGAGCCTGTCCTCTTGGAGCCTCTGATCCAATTGGGAGATAAAGGAGGAATTTCTACCACTTGCCTGTATTTGTCAGGACCTCCACAAGGAGGCAGTCCCAAGTCTGTCTTCAGAGGTCCCAGGCACCTTGAAGACCCTCTTGCTGCAACCACCAGTGCAGTCTCTTTCCCAGAACTCTGGCCTGGCACTTGTCTGCAGGAGCTTTGTACAGTGGTAGTGCTGGAATCAAGGCATGGGTGAAGGTGTGGTAGAATGGGAAGGCTAGAGCCTGGTCACCCTTCCCTGACCTGTATTGTTGTGTCTGGTGGGAGCTCTTTGTGCTGTGCTGAGTTCTCCCAGAGGTGGGGTCCCGCAGCTAGGAAGGGAGGGAGGAGCCTACCCATTAGGGTTGCGAACTTGAACTCCCAATCTCAAGGGCCAGGCCATGAGCATGGGCCTATGGGATTCTGCTCTGTCCAGATAGTGCCAGATCCTGATCTTGGTGTGAATGACAGACTGGCGTCAGGTTGATCCACATTTTCTTTTGTAAAGGACAAAGACTGAGACAGAGACAGTGTGAGCCTAGGGTGAATTGTTTTGTGATGGAGACATACTCAGGGACACAAGGCCCAGAGAAAGCAGAAAAGGTTTCCTGGGGAAAGTTTGATAAATGACCTGGGCCTTGCCAGGATGGAAAGGGGCAGAGTACTTCATGGAGAAGCAGGAACTTGTGCAAAGGTCTAGAGGTAGGAAGAAGCTTGGTGATATTACAAAAGAGCACCATGCCAGTCCTGCAGTGGCTGATGCTTGAAGGGAGATGAGCCCACATCAGCCCAATTTAGGTTAAAGTCTCTCAGCAAGAGTAGAAGGAGGCCACCTGCCCGGGACACTGCCACCCTTTGTGTTGGCCCTAGTCAAAGAGACCCAGGCCTTGCCTCAGAGCTCCTCTGGGGCCTTCCTGCCTTGCTTCTTTTGGTGCCACTGTTGGATCTTGCTGGGGAGCGTCTCTGTCCAGAACTGCATCTGGGCTTCCTTCAGCTTCTGCCCAATGCGTGGCACTAGGCTGATCTCCAAGTATTGCTCTAACTGGTTGAATTGGGGCCAAAAAGGCAGCCCCTTGCCATTGGGGTCCCTGGGTGGAAAGAATAAATGAGGGTCAAGGGCTCTTGTGCTGTCCGATAGGGGGCAGATCTGAGTTGTCCCAGGCCCAAAGCCAGGCATGCTCACTCACTCACTCTCTCTCACTTACCCTGTTTGGGCAAAGCGGGCCCACTGGGCCATCATGGTGAGACTCAGCTGCTTCTCTTCCTCTGTAGCTTCTGGAAAGGCTGGTGGGAGGGACAGATTTGTGTAGGGAGGGCTGAAGCTGGAAACTGATTACACATGTGGGGGTAAGGCAAGGCATGTTGGAGAACAAAGACTGCCCTAGGCAAATCCACACAGACAAACTGCTTCAGTCCAGAGAACACAAAACCCTGAGATAATCCAAGCAATCTGTTGCTAGGCAAAGTGATGTCACAGGACACCAACCTGTCAAATGTATAAATAAATGGCCTATGGTGGTTGAACAGTCTCCTTTCCTCTCATCTGGAGAGAGAAGTCTCCATCTGATCTCAGCTTTTGTCTCTTATCTTTATTTTTCCATTCTCTTGCAACACCCCCCCCCTCAAACTTCAAGGCAGATCTGGATCAGAATCAGGTGGGGTCTAGAGGGGACCCAAGGGCTCCTGGTGCTGACTGGAGACTGGAGACCTCTGTTCCTGCAAGTTCAGCCTGGCCCCTTGGAGCATAGAAGCCTAGAGATTACACGCCTGTCCTTACCCAAGAGGGTGCGTTCATCCATGAGGAAAGGACCCCCGAACATGAATGCTTGCTCAGCTGCATGGTCAGCCTTCACCCAGGGTGGCTTGATCTTTGCAAAAGAACTGGGTACATGCTGGAACTCATAGAAAAAAATAGGGACCCCAGAATCTGCAGAGAGAAGGCAAGATTGGAGTTAGGAACTGACAGCCTGATCTGGTCTTGAAGCCTTGGTAACACCAGTTCATGGGTGAAATCAATCCTACTCCTAATAACAATGAAGGCACAATTACAAGCAGCAAGCATTTCTGAGCTCTTGCTAAGTGTTAAGCACCCTCTGGATGCTGAATGTGTGACACTTCATTCAGTCCTCATAAGAACCTTTGAATTAGATTCTACTATTATTTCCACCTGGAGTGGTAGAAGGGTGTGGGGTTCAAGATATTGGGGGAATCTGTACCTGTCAACACATGTTGCCTGTGGGGGCTCAAGTGGGGGTGGGTGGGTCAGGAGGCCAGAGAAAGGTTTACCTTGGAGGTTTCTTGAGAAATTCAAAGTTGGGATGTTGAAGATGATATCACCAGCCAGTTCCTGGAAGGCTTCACGTATGGCTTGTGCATCTGAGCCACTGCCTAGATACTGGTCTATGACCATGGACGTCATCTCAGGGGGCACATTCTGGGAGAAGAAGTCAGGGTTAGGTCTGCTTGGGTCCCTTTCAAGAAGCTTCCTTCACATGTGGGGACTCATGCTCCAGGGCTCAACCACCTGCCTTCTTCCCTGGCAGTTCTAGAGGGTGTCTTGTTAGGATAAACTCAAGTTTGGAGTCAAATCCTAGCTTGGTGGCCACTCCTTGGCTGTGTGACTTCAAACAGGTGGTTTATCCTCTCTGAACATCAGTTTCTACCTGGTGTTGTTATTTGGCAGCCTATGGGAAGTTCCCAGCACAAAGTCTGGCCTGAAATCAGGTGGTCAGTTGAAGTTAACTTGGAAATAAGTGAGAGAATAAATGACAGGCGATCCCCACAGCTCCCAAGAGCAGTGCTGAGGATATGTGAATGGGGAGGTTCTGGAGCTCCTGAGAAAGAGAAGTACACATAGATTGAGTAACTCTGAGGGTACCACAGTGTTCCCTTTTTGAAGCAGGGTCTCACTATGTGTGCCAGGCTGGCCTACAACTTGTGATCCTCCTCCCTCAGCCTCCTGAAGGCTGGATTACATGCATGCATGGCCATACCTGGCTCCTGGTAGACTTTTCAAATGTATCCTTCTTACGTGTGCTCAGGTGAGTGGAAAGCATCATTTCCATTTACAGGAATGGACTCAGCCATGTGGCTAGAGCTGGGATTTGATCCCAGATCCATCTGGTTCCATATCTGACAATGTGATTGTGACATCTCTGGGGTCAGACAGAGCTGGCTCAAACTCTGCCCCTGCCCCTTATTCACCACGAGGCCTGAGCTTCAGTTTCCCTATCTGTAGAATGGGATAATGAAAGTCCCTGCTTCACAGAACTGCAGTGAAGACTGAAGCCGATGAGTGCCTGTTGTAATGCTCAGCATAGCTCAGTCCCTGGAACATAGGTCACGCATAAAAGGGGCAGTTTCTATGGTGACAGTGATGATAATGACAGTGATTTTCCTTTGAGAATGACATTAACTCCATATGGATTCTGGAGTGGAACTGTAATTCAGTAGCTGGACCAAGGTTCTTGTAGTAGGCAGGTGCGGGCATTGGAAGGTAGGAGCAGAGACCCCTGGTTTGGATACCCTCAACCTCTTCTCTCTGCCTCTTGCCTCACCATATTTGTCAAAGAGGGCTTCAGCGTGTCCAGCATGTTTTCCCGGCTCATCTGCTCCATCTTATCCAGCAGACCGAAGGCCTGTGGGGACACCAAGGTGTGTTCAGTTCAACTGACTGTTGCCCCGGATCTACTCCCAGCCCTGGGCAGGAAAGCATTTACAGCTCTGTCTAGAAACTCATTACGGAGCCACTAGTGGGCTAAACCTACCAGTCCACAGACCTCAGCAGATAAACCTCAAATTGGCAAAGGATGTGGTGGCTGGGGACAGTAGCACCACATACAACATGCAGTATCTGATGGCAGGACCATGGAGAATGAGAGAATTTATTTAACATTTCCCCAGAATAACATCAAGAGCCCTAGGGGCTATAGCAGAAGCCACAGGAAAAGTTGAAAAGGCAAAATGCTGGCTTTACATGCCACTGTGACAGGAGCACTGGACTCAAAAAGCCCCAACTCTCCAAGCTCAAATCCCAGCTCTGCCACTTGCTAGGTACATGGCCTAGTAAACTCTCTGGGTCTCAGTTTCCTAATCTGTCAGAGAGGAAGGGCAATGACCTGCCTCATAGGACTGTTGTGAGGATTGAGTTAATAATGTGCATAAAAGGCCTGACAGTCCTGACAATGTGGCAGAGTGCTTAAGGCAATGGACAGCTAAAAGGCTTGACAGAGTAAGCATTATGAAGAGCCATGCTATTTGTTAAAGTTCATTTCAGTGCTCTTTAACTCTCTATTAATCTGTGAGAATTCATAGATGAATAAACAGAGTGTCCTAACCACCAGTGTTATGGTTTATATCTATATACCCCTCCCCCAGTTCATATACTCATAGGTAGAGTTTTTGGGAGATGACTGGATCAGGGGGGTGTGACACTCACAGTGTGTATTAGTCCACTGATCACTTCATATCTAAATGTGATATTGGGAGGTGAAGGCTGTTTGGAGGAATGGGTCACTGGGGCCTGGCCTGGCACCCTCTATCTCCCTCTTTCCTCTCTTGATCTCTCTGTGTTTCCTGTTGCCATGCCATGAGCTGTTTATCCTCTGCTATGCTAGTTGAGACTATGGACTGAAATCTCTACCAGCTGTAATCCAAAATAAATGTTTCCTCCTTTGTGTTGTGGGTGTTGGGTATCATGTCTTGGTGATGAGAAAGTAAATGAGACACTCAATACATGTATCTTAGAAGGTGAGCTTATTTGGAGGACATGTCTTTAGGAAGCTAATCCAGTTATATTATATATCCCAGTTATATTAAGATGATTGCAAAGGTAATCATTATGGTGGTAATGGTAATCCTATGATTGGTGTCCCTATAAGGGTGAAATAGAAGTGGAGGAAAGGCAATGTAAAGATTTTTGTGAAGGCAGAAATTCTATAAGCCAAGGAATGCCTGAAGCTACCAGAAGCCAGGAGAGATGCTGATTGTCCCTCACAGCACTCAGAGGAATCCAACCTTGCTAATACTTTGATTTCAGACTTCTAGCCACCCTGTGAATGACAGCTTTCACTCAATCATTCATTCATTCATTCATTTTTTTAACGAGACATGGTCTTAATAAGTAGCTTGGTCTAGCCTTGAACTCACTATGTAGCCCAGGTTGGCCTCAAACTTGTGGCAATTCTCCTGCCTCAGCCTCCCAAGTACTGGGGTTATAGGTGTGCACTACCACGTCCAACTGAGATGACAGCTTTCTGTTGTGTAAGCCCCCAGATTGTACTTTGTTATGGCAGCCCTAGCAAATTAATGTAATAATTTTGTAAAAGAACAAAGATGGAGAATGTCCACTTCCTAATTTCAAAACTTACTTCAAAACCATAGCAACTGAGATAGTGTGGTAGTGTCGTAAGGATAGACACAGAAATTTTTGGGATAGAGTTGAGAGTTCAAAATTATGCTTTTGCATTTACAGTCAGCTGATCTTCCATAAGGGTACCATAAAGGCAATTCATAAGGAGAGAAATGTTTTCAACAACATGGTGTTGGGACAACTGGATAACCATATGCAAAAGAACTTCTAACACCATATACAAAAATTAACTTCAAAGCTTCTCATGGTTGTTCATGGCTGCACTCCCAGCATTCCAGATGGCTATGATAACAGCATTGCAAGTTTAGCCCGGGCCTGGCATTTTAGTGATTTAGCAAGACCCTGTGTCAAAATATGAAATAAGAAAAGGGCTTGGAAGTAGCTCAGTGTGAAGGTTTGGGTTCAATCCCCAGTGCTGGGAAAAAAAAAAAAAAAACTTCCAATGAATCATAGACCTAAAGGTAAGGAGCTAAAATTATAAAATTCTTAGAAGAAAACATAGGACTAAATTTTTGTACTCTTGGATTAGGCAAAACACAAGCAACAGAAGAAAAAATAAATGAATTTCATAAAGTTGAAAAAATTTTGTTGCAAAGAACATTACCAAGAAAATGAAAATGCAACCCACAAAATGGAAGAAAGTGTTTGAAAATCTTATGTCTGATAAGAAACTTGTATCTAGAACATGTAACTTGGCTGGGCAAGTTGGTATATGCCTGTAATCCCAACACTCTGTGTTCTCCAAGGGTTCATGTGTAGGAAGTTTGGTCCACTTATGTGGCAGTGTAAGGATGTGGGATGTGATGGATATTTATGAGGTGGGAACTAGTAGGAAGTGTTCAGTCATTGGGAGCTTGTGTTTGGAAGAGATTAACATAGTACTCACAGGATTCCTGCTTAGTTCTCCTGAGAGCTGATTTTGTTATGAAATAGCCCCTCTCTTCCTGTCTGGTGATTCTCTCTCTCTCTCTCTCTCTTTTTCTCTGTCTGTCTATCTGTCTCTGTTTCTCTGTATCTCTCTTGTCTCACACGTTCCTGCCATTGTGATCTAATCTGCCGTCTGGTGATAGAATGAGGCTGGGGAATGTGGAGTGGGAGGGCATCACTAGAGTCATTAGCAGGTTATTTGTACTTTCAGCCTCCAAAACTATGAGCTAAAGAAACCTTTTTTCTTTAAAAATTACCCAGACTCATGTATTTCCTCATAGTAACAGAAAACTAATATATTTGCACAAAAATTTATACAGGAATGTTCTTAGGAGATTATCCATAATGGCCAAAAAAGTGGAAATAATCTGTTATGGCTTATATCTAGATGTCCTCTCAAAGCCTCATGTGCTCATAGGTGGGACTTTGGAAGGTGGCTGGATCATGGGTGTGTGATACTGGATCTAGGGTATATGAATATGCATTATGGTTGTGTGATAACTGGATCAGTCTACTGATAGGATTAGCGAAATTCTGCATGTGGCTGAATAGATTTACTTAAGACAGAAGGCCCATCCTGGGTATGGAAAGCACTAAACAATAGGCTTTTAGTCTGAGTGGAATATAAGGGGAGGGAAGGGTTGCTGCCTGCCACTTTCTGCCTGCCACACCATGAACGTTTTCTTTTCTGCCATGCCACCCTGTCTTGGAGCTACCTGCCTATGAACTGAAACCTTTACAAACTGTGATCTAAAATAAACCGCTCCTCTTTTAACTTGTGGGTGTCTGTTACTTTGTCCCAGCAGTGAGAAAAGTAACTAAGACACAGTCCAAATATATATTAATTGATGAATGAATAAACAAATGTGGTATATCTGTCTATACAACTGATGCCCTGGAATGAAAGCCTGATTCATGCTACAGCTTGAGTTAACCTTGAAAAACATCATAAAGTAGATCAAACTCCAAAAGACATCTATTTTATATTTTCCTTTCAATGAAATGTCCAGATTAGGAGCATAAATAGATTTGACAGAAGTGGATTAGAGACAAACAGTAGATTAGTGGTTGCCAGGGGTAGTGGGAGGGGATTAGAGGGGACTAATGGGATCTGGGCTTCTTTCTAGAGTGATGCAAGTGTTCTGGAATAAGATAGCACTGAAGGTTGTACAACTCTGTGAATATACTAAAATCCACTAAAGATTATGCTTTATAGAGGCCTGAGTTTTATGCTGCGTATGTTTTGTCCTAATAACGCTGATTTTAGGAGGGTATTTTTTTTTTCTTTTTTTTTTGAGACAGGGTCTCACTCTGCAGCTCAGGCTGGCCTTGAGCTCACTTTGTAGCCCAGGATGGTCTTGAACTCGCAACGATCAACTTGCCTCAGCCTCCTGAGTGCTGGGATTACAGGTGTGCGCCACCTCACCCAGCAGTAGGAGGGTATTATTTTTGAGATGGGGACTTGTTATATGGTCCAGGCTGACTTTGAACTCACTATGCAGCCCAATCCAGCCTCAAACTCATAGCAAACCTATCTTCTCAGCTTCCTGGGAACTGGGATTACAAGTGTGCACCACTGCACCTGGCTAGAGCAGATACTTTTAAAAATGATGGTTGACAAAAGCTTTATTGTTAAGGTTGCAATAAAAACTTGGAGGCCAGATTGAATTTAGAAGGTCCTACGGCAATGGCCATATGTGAGAATTGTGTGTGGGGTTGTTTTTATGAAGGGTTTCTCTCTTTCTTT